CCCATTTCACAAGCCTCGCACTTCCGGCCTTAGCGGTCTTTGAGTACGCGGCCCTTGTGGACCGTTAAGGCTGCAGACCCTGAATTGGGACACAGCCTCTGTCTCTTCCCAGAAATCACAGACCAGGCACATAAGTGTCGTTAGCACAGCTGGTGCAGGGTCCTCCAGTCACTCACTCTGCAGCTCTACAGACTGCTGACCTTTCACTCCTGTAACACGACCTGTTAGGACTTGCTGAGCTTTGACTTCTGGCAGTTAACAAAGTTTGAAGGTTGCTTTACTTCCTTGTAAACTACCTGGATAGAATACAAAAATCTGTTTAAACAGAAACAGCAGCTACCTCTCAGTGTACTGATGCTTTACTATGATCATTTTATGAATGGGCAGCAGGTGCATGTACTGGTCTGCTGTAGTAAAGAGAGAGCTGAGCATGAAACCTAAGCTATTGGTTTAGTGGTCGATCTACGTTCCTACCCTGACGTTTGCCCTGAGCTGAAATGATCTTCCCCGAGGAGTCGTTACTCTCCCACACTGGAGTAGCTAAATGTCCTCTGATGGATCGCTGCAACAGTCGGGGCCGACTTAATGAATCCTCTCTGCACTGTGAGAAAACGTTTCTTCTGCTTCATACACTGTGTAACTGTGACAGCAGTGTTACTTATGTAGCTACGGCTGAGTCTATGACCACACAACAATACAGCCATAGCTACAGTACGACTGTAAAGACGACTCAGTTTACAGGTTAATAATAACGTTGTGTTGCTGTGCTGTGTGACACGTTTGTCTCATTTAAAACGTGTGTTTGTGGACAGCCTGTGTGACTTTAGAGACAGATAAACGTTCACTCTCTTTATGAAACAGCTAAGTGCTCCGTAGGCGGGGTCAAAACGGTGGCTCTGACCCCGCCCACTTTAACATCACAAAAACATGAAGCGATCACAGCAGTATGCTCCTGCTGATTGCTCAAGCATGTCTGCATGTGACCCGAAGAGGTCATCAATGAAGACACGACGCTGACAAAGTGCAAAGATTCTCCATCACAGCTCTGAAGACCTGAATCCAAAAGCCTAACAGGGTCTATGACTGTTCAAACTTTTGACTGATTATTGCTGTCACTGATTTATTGATCAGTGTTTGAACAATTCATTTTCAACATTACATCATATGTTTACTGTAAATGTTAAAAGAACATAACTCAATGTTTTACTTACGTTTCTTGTAGCAGATGTATGTGCCTACTGCTAATCCTGCTATTACTAATGCTACTGAGACAGAAACTAGACGTATGAATGCGTGCACTCCTGGATTTGTGTCTGGACCTGTGAAGAATATGACAGAACAACAGAAATGAGCTAGGCTGCTTTACCAACAACTGTAATTATTATTCAGGTTACCTTAAAATCCAGGTTAGGCTACATGAATATTTTCTCTTATTAATGAAATTCTAACAGTGACAGTGGTGTCCCATAACGATGTGGGCTTCATAGATAATTGGCAAACCTTCTGGAGGAAACCTGGTCTTGTTAGGAGAGACGGCATCCATCTCACTTTGGATGGAGCAGCTCTCATTTCTAGAAATATGGACAAATTTATTAAACCCCCCAAAGTATGACTATCCAGAGTTGGGACCAGGAAGCAGAGTTGCAGTCTTACACGCCTCTGCAGCTTCTCTCCTCCTGCTACCCCCCCAAAAACCCATCTCCATAGAGACTGTGTCAGCTTCCAAACAGACAAAAAACAAACTAAAAACCAGCAACAAACAACTTAAACATAAACAATCACAAAGAAAGAACAATACAGTATCCACATCTGAACCAAAGAGTAAAACTTTATTAAACATTCAGTTCATCTGGACGTTTGCAGTGGGAGAAACGTTTCGTCATCATCAGGTGACGTCTTCAGTTTCAGCTGACTGCAGGTTTCCTTATAAACAGGACATTTGCATAATGACTGAATGCAAATTCTCATGACCACTCAACAACCACTGATCAATTATTAAATATTAGGTCTCTCTCCTCCAAGTCTCTGTTAGTACATGACTTAATAATTGATCAACAAATTGATTTACTCTGCCTTACAGAAACCTGCTTGCAGCAGGATGATTATGTTAGTTTAAATGAATTCTAACTACCAGAAACCTCGAAGCACAGGCCGAGGGGGAAGTGTGGCAGCAATTTTTCACACCAGCCTATTAATCAACCAAAGACCCAGACAGACTTTTAATTCATTTGAAAGCCTGATGCTTCGCCTCGTCCACCCCAGCTGTGAAACTCAGAAACCAGTCTTACTTGTTATCATCTATCGTCCACCTGGGCCTTACACAGAGTTTCTGTCTGATTTCTCAGACTTTTTATCTGATTGAGTGCTCAGCTCGTCTGTAATAACACCACCACTCATTCACCTATAAGTATGTCAAAGATGGCCCCGCCCCTCCCTGAGCCTGGTTCTGTTGGAGGTTTCTTCCTGTTAAAAGGGAGTTTTTCCTTCCCGCTGTCACCAAAGTGCTTGTTCATAGGGGGTCATATGATTGTTGGGTTTTTCTCTGTATGTATTATTGTAGGGTCTACCTTACAATATAAAGTGCCCTGAGGCGACTGTTGTTGTGATTTGGCGCTGTGTAAATAAAATTGAAGTTGAAATCTGAAGGACAGCCATGTAACACTGTCAGGACAGTGATGGCAGTATCGGTGTCATCTCTGTCATAACGTTCATCAAACATTCTGCAGGATGATCCAGCAAGGTCTTGGAGGATTTACAGGATTTCGACTCAGTGAAGTGTTTGCTGACTCAGAAAGTCCCGGATTTTTATTGGCTTTTAATGATTTTTAATGGCTTATTGCTTCATTTTAAATATGTTCCCCAGATTCTACCTGAAACTGTGTGAACATCCATCAGGGGACGGATGTACAACAGAAACATATCAGCAGCGTCCCTTCAATACTGATTAGGCTCAAACAAGCACTGAGTTTAACAAAATAGTGCTAATGTTACAACATTATCTAGCCCCGCCTCCACCAGCACTCCCACTCTGACAGATACTGGGGTTTGCTGATGCGCTGCACTCACCAGCACCATCTCTGTCTATCTTTGTGGTGGTGTTGATGCTTTGGTTGGAGCGAGGGTTGGTGATGCGGCAGGTCACCGACACCAGCTCCTTCACACTGACGGAGCTCCTGACAGTGAAGGTTCCATCCTTTGCGTCCCTCTCGTGGGTCGGTTTGTATTCATGCAGGTCCACATATTCACCACCGGTCGTGTTTTGACCCGACCATGACACGCTGGATTCAGGGTATCCTCCACGCGCTGTGCAGGTCACAGTGTCTGCTGTGTCAATGGTCAGGTTTATATCTCTGTAGGAAGCTGTGACAGAGGTGAACACTGTTTACACACCACAGACATTCAGAGCACATCAGCACAAACACTTCATGCCAGAAACAAGAACATCAGAGTCAGAGCTGTATGAAAAGTCTCAGGGAGACGTATTCGATCTGGACGTAAGAAGATATCTTCCTTACCTGAAACCTGCAGTGTTGAGTTGCAGCCGCGCTCACGTCTGTCTTTGAAGGAAGCCATGACCCAGAACGACTTCTGGTCGTCTGCAGCTGTAACACTGTGAAGTTTAATGGAGATGTTCCCCGATCCAAACTCAGAAGCAAAGACTGTAACTCTGTTCCTGTAGACTTCAGATGTTGTTTGTTGACACGTTTGTTCACAATGAATCAAAATGTTTTCAGTCCCGTCCTCCTGCCAGTAAAACCACTTTGGCCTTGTTGGAACTGGGAGTTTACAGGTAACCAGCACAGAGCCTCCAACAGTGGCACCGAGGAGCTCCGCTCGCTGACCCGAGATGAGGGCTGGAAAAAGAAACACAAACACATCAGTAACGATATAATTATGACATCAGTGATGTAACGCACAGTTTAAGAAAACCAGCCAAACTGTAAACAGACAGGCACTGACAGGACCAACTTCAAGTTTGTTTTTCACTATTTAAAGATTTTATTTTAAAAACAGAAATCTGATTGGTTCTTTGTGCCTCACAAACCTTTTTCCTTCTGGCTGGAGTGCAGTCTCTCACACTAGTGGCTAATTTGGGTCATTAACTTTCCCAAATTACTATCAGTTGTTTTGGATTCTCTGTATTCTTTGCGTTACTGTCCAGTCTTCACCTTATAATATAAAGCTGTTTTTGTTGCTAAATAAATAAATTGAATTAAACTAAGTGAAACGTAATTTAATATTAAAAAATCTCCAGTGAGATGAGATGGATCTGTTGGGTTATTGTGGTATTATTAGCTCTAAATGATCCTTCATCCCTAAAATCAAAGAAACAAACTGAAGGTTAAAAACAGCAGAGTGTCACAGCTTTACAAGGTTAGGCAGAGTTAGCAGGTAGTTAGCTGGTTTCTATTGAGAGTTTAGTCGGCTTGAGAATGATTGTTTACCAGAGGGTTTAAATATTTGCTGTCTGGGGCACCTCGAGCTGCAGAGGCCAAGAATGATGACTGAAGAGCTTTAGGGGCTTTGTGTCTGTTCAATAAATAAGAGCCTCACACAACGCAGGAGACACTTGGACAGGACGCTCAGTCGATACATCAGCACTTAACATGCAGACAGAGCCTCAGCTGCGTGCTGTAAACTCCATTTAGCTTTCACTGAAGCCGATACGGCTGGAATGCATTTACTTGGATTTAGTATGGATGCAGCACACTTATAGCCAGGACATGGTAAATCATAGAGCTGTAATAACTGTATGATTTAAATATGGCTCATGAAAGAAAGACAAATGAAGCAGATGGTCTTTAATAACTTTGGGTTTGTTAGTCCTTAAATAAATATAAAAGTACAAATTACAAATCGAGCCCAAACATGCATATTTCTGGGGATATTTGAGCATCATGTAGCAGCACATCCTCCACCAGGAGTGAAGCCCAAACATATCTTACCACCGAGCAGTCCGACCACGAGGCCTGCAGTTAACATGTCTGCCTGTAAAACAAAGGTAAAACATGCTGTGGTCACATATCTATTATTGCGTGTAAACACACTGTTTCATCTTCCTCATGAAGTCTGGCTGGCCTCCAGCAAGTGTTACTGGAAATGTAATGAGCCCACATTGTATTCAGATTAGTAACAAGATCACAGTAATAAAGTGATATAATCCCAGTACTTTGTGTTTAAACAGTGTTTAGCACACACTCACAGGATTACATGGTGTCGGGCTCACAGACAGCAGCTGTTCCACCTCTGCATGCTGTAAGCAAATAACAACAACAGCTACAGAGTCAAACATCCTGGAGAGCAGCTTTCTGTGAAGGATCCACACAGTGGGGAGAGCCCACAGAGCATCACGGAGGGAAATTCTGGGATTGTGGTACTTTGCAAATGTGTGCTCTATGCATGCAGCTGCTAACCAGTTAAACAAATAGATTCAGCAGCCAAACCCCAGGTGTATTACAGGCATCGTGTCATAAATGCAAACAACTTTTTACTGATGAAGTAGCGAGTCAAACTTGGCTTGAAATAAACCATCATGAAGCTGTTCTTTGTTCTTTGCACAGTGATGTGTTTTCAGTGAGAAACTTCTGGTTTCTCACTGCAGCAAATGAAATCTGAGCTACATGCACTCAACAGTAATTCAGTTCAGTTTCGTTGTATTTATATAGCTGGTTTATACTGGTTATACTGGTTTACTATTTTTCTTTTCACATTCAAAACAAAAAAAGGTAAACTGAACATCAAGACAATTCTATAAAAAATAAATGTTGTTATGCTACCTCAATATTACTGAGATGTATTTCAATATGTCTGTAAAATACATTTGTTTTATTTATTTTTCGTTTTAATGTTATGAACTACAGCAACATCTGTGGTGTTACAGGTCAGTTTTGACAATTTTATATTTACTTGAAAAGAAAAAGGGGGAAAAGTACTTCATTTTATGGTGTTTATAAAAGCAGATTCCGAAGAAAGTGTCCGGATCTATAACGGCTCGCTCTTTGGTTTGCTGAAAGCCTTTAAGCGCTGATCCGACATAAAACAAAGTCACACAGACGAGCACGCGCGCACACCACGGAAACACTGTTAATATTAAAATAAATAAACAGGAAGTCAAACATGGAAGGAATGAAAAAGAAGCAAAGCTGTAAATCTCCAGACTGTACCGGCTCAACCCAACACGATAAAGATGATTCAAAGCAAACTGAGTTTGAAGACTCAAAGGTTTCCAGCAGCGCGCAGGACGGTGCACAGTCATAAAAGCTCAGGACACGCGTGACAGCCGGAGCTGTTCTCTCAGCTAAGTAAGAGCCAAATATTTCTTTCATCGCCAATAAACGCGTAACTGATCCCAGGAAGCCTCTGTGAGCGCTGCGTCCTCACAGACTCACCTGAATCAGAGCCCGGGCTGCTCCTCTCACGGCCGCGGTGAAGAGTGGCTCCCGTTATCCGCACGTCCTCTCTTACAGACAACCTCGACTTCCCCCTTCTCACTCTCAGCCACGCGCACGTGCACGTTTTCTGCTTCTGCATTGCTTCCTTTCTGGTGATAAAAACCTTTCAACGATCGTGGCTCAAGAGTTGAGAGGGCGCCTTGTAATCGGAAGGTTCCCGGTTCGAGCCCCGGCGTGAACAGTCTCGGTCGTTGTGTCCTTGGGCTGGTGGTATGTAGCTTACCATCACCAGTGTGTGAATGGGTGGCTGATTGGATATGTAAAGCCCTGTGGGGTCCTTGGGGACTAGTAAAGCCTCCTACAAATACAGGCCATCTACCATTACTCTGCTGACGTCATAACCTCGGTGTCATGCATTCATAAAATCTGATCATCAGTTTAACCGGAGAGTGTTTCAGGTGCTGAGCAGTTGCAGATTATAGCTGCCATTATTATCATCATCGACAGAAATAAAAAGGCTGCTTCCCGTCTGCTATGACTTCCACAAACCTGTGTGTCCACACCTCGCTGTGACCTGAACTGTTACAGCAAACATCAGAGGGGACACTTTGGTGCTCGTGATTTTACCTCAAAGCAAAAATAATCGTGATAATAAACTGTCATGCTGCTTTCTGAAGAAAAGAAGAACTGGGCATACTCAGGAAGCTCTTCAGGTGTTATCGGTCCATTCCGTGTGTTGGGAAGCCCAGCAGCGACACCTTGTGGCGACGCGTTTAATCACCGTCATATGGCAGATTGCCCTTTCAGCTACAGCAGCACTGCAGCTGGTTCGGCTGGAGATTCGGAGGCTTACCGCCATGCGGCGGACATATCCTGAGGCTTTCGCAAAAGACACTCGCAAAACACTTACAAGCTAATGTGTGGGTCACATGTGGATCGACTGTTGAGTAAAATGCCTCCAGCCTAGTAGCGGTTTTTAATATGGGCGACTGCTCACGGCGGCATCGTGGTGGGGGGCGTC